GGCTTGGTTGCCGAGTTGAAATACCCGGACAGACGAACACACACACACACACACACAAACATACACACATACACACAAACATACGCACACACATATACACACAGACAGGGTCGTCCCAATGTGCGTTTTTGCACTTTGCATATAGGCAAAAATGCATAAAAACGACCGGACTTCATACAAAAAACCGGTAATCATGCTCCTAGATGTGCACCACCTTCATCCCAACTGGTGCCCTTCCTCCTTCATGCCGGTAAGGATCAAAACACGGCCAATATTAGCCCAAGTGTTAGGCTACGGCGTAGGGATCATTCCTGCTAATATCGATCTGCGAGTTTAGTGCAAAAACGCATGATCGCACCGGAGAGCCTGGTGCGTTCCAGCCTGGGTCTATATTCGCCAGCTTCCGACAAAAAAATAACGCGTTTTTTCAACGAAGTTCTTCCCGAACTCAGTCTATTTATAATAGTACAAGGGTGTAAAGGCTCTTTATTTAACCGATAGATTATGTAAGTGTTATCCCAGCGAGCGAAAACAGAAAAAATGTAATCCATTTGGCTCAGTTAGCCCACTCTAATTCTTTTTTGCATTAGGACCTTTACAATACATCACTCATTTCCCCAGCGCAGTGAGAACCGTATTCAAAGCTTAGCTCCTTGCCACAGGAAAGCGAGGTTTGGGAAAAGGGTTGGCTAAAAAGAGTGGATAGGAGAGGGGGAAGGAGTGGATGGGAGGGAAGGAAAAAAATGTTTCCGTTTTTGAAAAGTGTGGGTAAAAACATTATTTATACTAAGAGATTGCTTTTTATTTTAGTAGTTCAATCGCAATGTTTCAGATATCCTGTCTAAAATTTTTGCTTTGTGATAGTGATCAAAGAACGGTTGTAGGCTTTTCAACTCAAATAGTGATGCTGTTTGTGAAAAATTAACTGGAAAAGATGTGATAAATTGAAATTCCATCAAATTTTAAGGATCACAAAATTTTCAATTCCCAGCTTACGCGCTATACTATTTTTAAATATTAGTGTTTCAAAAACCATATTAGAGATTCTTTTGAAGAATTCCCGCCCGCAACTATTGGAAATAATTTTAATAAATAAATTAGTCGCTGTAAAAATTTACTGGGCTCGTTGCAGCATTCGACAAGCGAGCCCGAGCTTCAAAGCTCAAGTCATATTTGTTTCAATATGTCCTTCAACGTTGATTATATTTTTGAGCGTGTACAGCTGCTGAAAGTCGAAATGTAAGGCTTTTTGAATTCTTACGCCTTATCAGCGTTACTGTCAAAGTGATGGACAAGGACAATTTCCAAGAAAATTGGAGTCTTCTGGCGGAACTCTCATTATCGACAGTGGTGCTTTCTGTTTTTGTCAGGCATTTATGAGGCAGCGCAAGAAAACGTCACTAAGGCAAAATTATGTCTGTTTGTGCACTCCTGTTTTTGACTATGTGTTCAAAATACGGAAATGTAAAAAGACAGAAAGTCGAAAGTTCTTAAAAATTGATCATAGTATGGACAGGACCTTGGACTTCCAATTATTTTTCGTCCTGCTTTGTGTCTTTGTCTTTGAATCCAGACCTTATTTCCGGCAAATTTTATAGTCCTAGAACCGAAAGAGTTACAAGCAAGAATATATTGTATTAATATTTGCTCAGTAAATAATACATACCTAAACAGAAAGATATAACAATAAAAGTAGTATAAAACGAAGAAACAGTGAGACCGAGGGTGTAGTGTTAATTTCAACTAACTAGAGATAGTGATAAATGTAAGCATAACAAAAAATAATGAAGAAACACTTTGTCAGGTAAAGTGATACAATAAAGTGAAGTGGAATAGGCGTAAAATAATGAAAGGAAGTATCCTATGAAAAGGAATATTTCGGTTCATTAGTTTGTGCAAATTAAGTCGTAGTCGTAACTGATGGACTGGGGTGAAAATTTTTGGTCAGTTAGTAAACTAGATCTAATTTACCCAGCTTCCCGACTTCTATTCACTGCAACGACACAGCCGTTCTGGCTACTTCCGAGTGCCTATTTTTCAGTGAGTCTGAACAGAGAAGAGTTTCGAACTGGAACTTTTGCCACTATTGGTTTTTTTCCATAGGCTATATAAAACCAGTTTGATTATTTAACCCAGGCCAGGAATGCACTGAGCTTGCTGGTGGGATCATTCGTTTTTGCACCAGATTTGAAGTACTCAGGTCACTAACTTGTTGCTTCACACTTACCTTTTCGCTCACTAGCGTTAATCATCGTAATTTTGCATAAACGAAAATTAACAATTTCGGTTTAGGCGGTCGTTTTTATGCGTTTTTGCATACATGCGAATTGCAACCCAGGTGGAACGCACCGGGCAGGCTCGTGCGGTCATATGTTTTTGCACCGGACTTGTACTCAGGTCATTAACTGCATGAATGATTGTTTCTTTACACCTGTCTTTTGCAGTTACTAGCATAAATCACCATTAATTTTGCATAAAGTAAATGTATAGTTCCCATTTAACTTGAAAAAACCTAGATATTCAGTCAGAAATTTTTCCGCCAAAACTTTTAAGTGCCCGTACATAAAAACACGCGTACCTCAAGGCTGAATTTGAAATACTCAAGTTGTACTTGGACAGGGAACATTCCCCTAAAATTTTAGCTTTCTAGCTTTTCTGGCTCCCGAGTTAGTAATTTTCCCGCAGAAACCTTCATATGCCCTTGCACGAGTACCACGCATAGCTTGGGGCTGAATTTGAAATATTTGAAATGTACTTAGACAGTGAACATTCCTCCAAAATTTCAGCCTTCTAGATTTTCTGGTTGCCGAGTTAACAATTCTCCCGCCAAATTGTTCACGTGCTTGTACGCAAGAACCACGTATACCTGAGGACTGAATTTGAAATATTTAAGTTGTACTTGGACAGAGGAGATTCTCCCAAAATTCCAGCTTTCTGGCTTTCCTGGTTCGCGAGTTAGTGATTTTCTCGCCAAAAATTTCATACGCCCTGTACCACGTATAGCTGAAGGCTGAGTGTATAATCTTTAGCTCACACATGCGCAGGGAATATCCCTGCAAAGTTTTAGCCCTTTACCTTGACTGGTTCCCGAAGTTACCTTCCCGCCAAAAAATTTGCATATTTTTTTAAGATGTCCGTACACGTCACCTAGGCGTAGGCGGGCGATGATATTAAAATGGGAGGGTCGCGCATGGTGTGGACGCATAATTCCAAAGTTTCAACTTTCCAGCTTTCCTGGTTCTCGAGTTGAAAATGGGTGAAAAAAAGCACGATCACACACACACACACACACACACATACACGCACACACACACATACACACACGCACACACACATACACACAACACACATTCAGCTCTTGCAAATTTGTGTTTTTGCAATCTGCATATATACAAAAACGCATAAAAATTAATTTTTTCACCGCAAGTCTTATGCGTTTTTGCATATATGCAAATTGCAAAAATGCATATTGCAACGGCCCTGTCTGTGTGTATATTTGCGTGTGTGTGTGTTCGTCTCTCCGCATATTTCAACTCGGCAACCAAGGAATCTGCGGCGCCAAAATTTTGCCAGTTGGTTCTCCGACCAAGTGCCACCTCAGAACCGCGGTACCAAATCTTTCGCGTTTTTGGATTCCGCATGTGTGAAAATTGCTAGCTCGGGTATGAGAAAAGTTGAAAGGCTGGAATTTTGAGGAAATGTTCCTTACTCATGTGCGACAAAAAAATTTCAAATTCAACTCCTCTAGTACGGTCTTTCTTGCGTATCAGCAGCCTGTAATTTTCGGGGCCATTGAAGCCAGCATCTACAAATGACACGCCATGTAGCTTAACTTCCTGAGCTTCAAAAGTCAGTATGTCACAAATACTAGCTACAACGATTTCTTACGACCTTGCCACGGCATGAAATGGTGCAAAAACGCATGATCGCTCCGGCTTGCCTGGTGCGTTTCAGCCTGGGTTTTGCTGCATAGAAACCTGGCGGGGATACTTAGATAACAAAATTTTAATGTATTTTGCTCCAAATTTGTTATTTTTTTCAGAAGAAATTTTACGGCCGGTGCTTCACTTGCTAATGCTGTCGGTGGTGTTATCGGTAGCGCGATATTTAAGCTTGACGAACTGATTGGCGCATTTGGCGCACAGTTACGCTTACCTCTGAGGTAGTATTTAAATGTCTTGAAAAACTGTACTCTTTGAAGTAGGAAGTAAGGCTGTGTGTATGATTAATTTTAGAAAAAAATTTAAGTTTCAAAGAAAATTTTCTCTGCAAAACCAAAGCTGGCTTTCCGGCTCCCTTAATCAAGTTCTCATTTTTTAGCTGACAACTCAAGGATTTTGTGAAAAAAATCAACAAAATTATTAATTGCTGAGGAAAAAAAACTTTTATTACAAAACTTTTGCAGTTTCACATTTTTGCGCTCGGTTGTTATGCACATGCTTATATCGGAATTGTCATAGTACTAATCTTCGAAAAACATCATATTTATTCGTTTTTGCTGGTAAAGTGGCGCGAAACGCATATTTTCGGTTCTCCGACTTCCACATTCATATTTCGAGAGGCTGTGTTAATGTATGCGTATGTGTGTATGTGCGTGCGCGCGTGTTTGTGTGTGTGTGTGTGTGTTGTATTTGTCCGGATTTCTCAAATGAACAAAACACAAGTGAGGAAGTCTACCCGGTCTTGCGAAGTTAAAATCAACCTTCGCCCGTAAGTCTAGATAAATGAAGTTTTGGGGGGATACCGGATGAGATAGAAACCTGCAATATTCAGGATGCTTACCGGATAAGATGGAAACCTGCAGTATTCAGAGGATGCGACACTAAAAATTAAAATTTAGCTTTCCTATGCGTCTACTTATAAATATGGACATGTGCAGTCTATGTGGGAAATTTTCTAGTTTGGGAGTCGAACGAGATGGAAAATAAAATTTATAGCAGGCTGTTTCCTGCTCGTGCGTGATCCTGGAAATTCAAACTTTACTTTCACATTTGTCTATGTCTAGCGTAAAAATGTGTCAAAATTCAGTTTTGCAAAACTTCGGCATCTTTCTTTCATAGAAATTAGACAAGCTAGGAAACTGGAATTCCCTTAAAGTGAGGAAAAACTAGCAGAAGCATTTCCAAAATAAATGTAAATAACAAACAGTGAAACAATAAGCATAAATTCTCTTTTACAGATAAAGACTTTGTTGTTAGACGAACCTTTGATAAATTATGAATTTTCTGTAAGAAATCATTTTTAACCTGAAGCGCATTTTGGCTACTGTTTATGGGACATTTGAAATTTATATTTTAAATGTAAAGAGTTCAAGATCCGAAAATCGATGGCAAACATAATACTGCACATTGCAGCGCAAAAACAGCAGTCACCACATCCGCTATCGGGCAGCCTCAAGCAGTGCCACAAGGGCGTTATTATGGAACAGTGGTTGTGTCCGGTCGGTTACCAGAGAAAACGGAGCCTGTTATTCTGCAATTTTCTGGGAAAAATCTTGAGAAACGAGATAAAATTTTCGACGAAACCTCTGTATTTTTTGAGGTGATTAAGATCTTCGAACGTTTTGTCGGCAAGAGTATTTAATTTTTGATATTCAGATCGCTTCAGCGACCTCTCGAGCTTTGGGAATCTAGTAATAGGAGGAAGTAATGATAACGAACAAAGAGGGCGCATATGAGGTTTTATGTCTTGATAGAAAATAAAAGTACTATTTTTCCGATGTTTCGAGCTTTTACGGTTTTGCACTACAAAAGCAGCGCGTGTTGCGTGTGTATGTGTGTTGGGTCTTTTTTCCAGAATTTTCAGCCCAACAACCAGAAAAGCTAAGAAGCTAAAATTTTAAACATACTGCTTTCTGTACATGTGTGGCTTTGGATTCAGCTTTCCAGGTCCCGTGTCCGGTAAGTGAAAGCTTGTGGGCTTCTAGAATCGCGCAAGACATGTGATCGCTAACGAATGGTCAATCCGCTACTTAATTTTATTCTGGCTCCGTCACAGATTTAAACATAGTTTCTGTATTTCAGATACATAGGATTGAAAATGATGACACGAGAACTGAACTGTACCGCAGTGAACCGCTACAGGAACACTCCCATCCTGTCTGGAGGCCCTTCAGTTTACATTTGAGGAAGATCGCTGATAACAGAAATAGGTTTATTTTCACGATTCGAAAAATTACTAACAATGATGCAACTACTTCAATCACCGAAATCTTGTGAATGACTTTTGCGAATGCTTTTTTAAAAACATTATCAACAGTAGCCTGCTGATGATTCTTCCTTAATTGAGGTGAATGCAAAAATTTTGGTCCTTTTCATGCAGAAACAAATATTTTATTTCTTTTTCAAGTAATGGTTTGATT